GGAATTAGTGGACTGCACCCTTACAAGCCCGTCATGTTTTGTGTATAACCCATGCCCATGTGGAGTTCAATGTATGTCCTCGGGCTGGGTACTAGACATCACATGCGCGCCTTGGTTCTTGTTAGACTGTCCCGAAGTTTTGGCTGCGGCTGCCCAGAATGCATGCATGTAAGGCAAATTGCAGCAGCCGTCAGTTGCTGGTCTTCGTTGGCGCGTGTGTCCTGTTGCCGGTCGGTCAATGCCAAAAAGACTGGTTCCCATACCGTGGATGGACGCCCGTGTGTTGCTCGTTGTTTGTCGCCATTTGTCAGTTCATGGAGGTAGAATTAGAAGCAATTATTGTGAAATAAGAACGCTTTCTCCTCGGTCACCTGTGCTTTTGTTTAATCATTCAACTTTCAAAATGAGTGTAAGTACAGCTGATTGTCCGGTTCCGTAAACGGAAATCGTCTGAGGCTCCTGGCGGCACAAAAACTTACGTTTGTGGAAGCCTGAAACAAGTGAAAGGTACATGGGTGTTCGTTCAGATAAATCCAGTTTGGCCTACCAAAACCAACAATATACCAATATTTACCATGTCCATGCCTACCTCAGACACTAAATAGTTTGTACCAAAACTAGCTGAAACTAACGTTAGGGTACTTTCAATATTACATGTAATGTAGGATATTCCGGATATTGTTTCATTCAATTAATTTCACAAACGCTACCCGTATGCCAACATGGCGAAGGACCAACTTAACAAAGTTAGCCTCCCATTTCGTTGGTGCCTACTGCGTGACTGCAGCTACTCCAAAGCATGGAGGTCCAAGGCACACGGGGTGAGGGTGCTGTGCTAATGTGTCAATATGGTACCATGCAGGCTGTATAATTTAAAACAAAAAAGTAAGACCAATTCTCGGCCATGGTACATACTACATACCATGTACATACCTAACGTTATTTGAGATTTTTTAGTTATTCTCGGCCTTTGTCAGGATAGTTTGCCCATGGAGGGAGGAACACAGACTGGCGGGCCAAAGCTGCAACTGTGATTGAGGTACATTGAAAAATAAAACTTGAAAGTACATGGAGGCTATAACTTTTTCTTTGCAGGCACCGATGTCTGATTTGTAGCTGCTCATCACCGAAGGAATGATTTCAAGTCAAGGCTAAGAGCAGCCACTTCATAAATATGACATCTATCATAAAACTGACCCCATTTTCAGGAGTGGGGGATGAGTCTCCACCCTGTTACATGCTCCAGGTGGACGAGTTCCGTTTCCTGCTGGATTGTGGCTGGGATGAAAGTTTCAACTTGGACTACATTGAGAACTTGAAAAAGTAAGTCCTTCAACTAGAGGGACAGTAATTTATACAGCAAGTAGTGCAGAGATACACAACCAAGATAACTCCTTGAAACCCAACTAGGTAGCATGAGGAGTTGCTTTGTGACATCAATGTTTGGTTTAAATCTCAATGTTGGAAAGTGGGACTGTTCAAGGAACTTGACCGTAACCTCAGATCCTAAAGAATTTGCCAGAAAGTTTTGAAAGATATTGCAGGACTTTGAAGGTCAAACCAAGCCACACTAAATATGTACCATTGGTTTTTCTAAACGGTGGATGATGCCTCTGCAGAAATGCATATTTAGAGTCGCAAGATATGGAAAATGCTTTGACCCTAAACTCTCCGTGGTATTCACCACGTGTTACATTTTTCAGGCATGTTCATCAGATTGATGCAATGTTGCTGACTTATCCTGACCACCTCCATCTCGGTGCCTTGCCATACATTGTCGGCAAATGCGGTTTGACATGCCCCATCTATGCCACCATTCCAGTCTACAAGATGGGACAGATGTTCATGTACGACTTGTACCAGGTAAAGTACTTTGAATACATTTAAGTATATAGTGTGGCGTGGTCAGGGTTGGACACACTGCAGTTTGCAGAAGTGCCACCTAAGCAGCCTATCCACTCGGGCATACTTTTGAATAGCAGTGACTGTCCCTTGGTTGGCACTCATGCTACGCACTGAGGTTTATGCACTAATGCACTTCTTTGGCATGACGCACTGAGTACATGCGACCGATCTCTCTTCGCTTGTGCAATATACACCTGTAGGTGCTTGGTTAGAAAACCTTCTGGCTTGTTCTCTCTTCTTCGCTGGCAAGGGTGCACCTGAACTTAGGGGGATAGAGGAATTCAGTAACCAGTTGAGAGCAGAGACAAAGGAAAAGGAACAATTTCCCTTCTCAAAAAAAGTAAAAAAGAGGGGGACATCCCAGATTGGCCAATGTCTTTTACAAACAAAATTGATTGACTAATTCCTGAATAAGTTTATTTCTATGCTAACAGTAGTGGGAGATCTACCCACGCACAGTAACCAACCTGAAATCGAAGCTTAGCGAGATATTTCTTTGGTCCTGATTGTGAATACTTTGTATCTCACTACAAGGAAATGATCATGTCAACTTAACTTTTTATGGGTAGTTTGGAATAGGTAACATCTTGTCAAGCATGGTTTATATTAAAAGTAATCCATTTCCTTTGGCCCAGTCTTGTTCTTGTTAAATTGCACTCTGAACAATATTTCCTATCATTCTGTTTTTATTTTCAACATTTTTTCGTTCTTTCGTTTTAGTCAAGGCATAATTCAGAAGAGTTTGATTTGTTCACACTGGATGATGTGGACTCAGCATTTGACAAGATCATTCAGTTGAAGTATTCCCAAAGCACAAACCTTAAAGGTATGTCGTGTAGACCACTAAGTATTGTGCAGGAGTAGATGAAGAGAGCCAAAGATCTGCATATCTTCACATTGCTTTGGACCCCTCTCCCTTGTACACAATGTCTACATTCTCCCCTTCTCTATGTGTGCATACTCGTGGAAGCATACTCGTGGAAGCATACTTGTGGATGCATACTAGTGGATGCATACTTGTGGATGCATACTAGTGGATGCATACTTGTGGATGCATACTAGTGGATGCATACTTGTGGATTCTGGATCAGATAGCAGCTGACATTGTTTAGGATGCAGAGACTGTTATTTTCCCTTCACTGAGTCAAAATTCTTGTTCCGAATCAGATAGCACCACATCTTGTGAATAGCTAACCCATGCACTTTGACTTCTTTGGTTTACAACATAGGTAAAGGTCACGGTCTGACTATAACTCCACTTCCTGCTGGTCACATGATCGGAGGCACGCTGTGGAGGATAGTCAAAGACGGCGAGGAGGAGATCATCTACGCCATCGACTACAACCACAAGAAGGAACGCCATCTGAATGGTTGCGTCTTAGAGTCGCTGAGTCGTCCATCGCTCCTCATCACCGATGCCTTCAATGCCACCTATGTTCAGGCCAGGAGAAGGCTGAGGGATGAACAGCTGATGAGTGAGTCCGCTAGTCCTGTCCTGTTTTCATCCTGTCGTTGTCTGTGTTCTTCTTTGTCTTGTTTTTTCCGGTACTAACCCACCTGTTTTTCCAACCATATCGGCGTATTTTAATGAAACATGCTTGGAGGCTTTAGAAGGCTTTTCCTTGTTTACTAACAAATTTGGCAGCCGTCAAGAAGATCATGAGATCAAGACTTCAGTTTTTTTTTTAGACAGTGGTCATTGATTTGTTTTCCATACGCGGTAGGTTTTGTGTGCACTGTGCTACATACCCAACCGCTGTTTTGAAGTTTTGTAGACAGCATACATCTTAGTCAGAATCACATAGTGTTAAAATAAGTGTAACGCTAACTTGGAAAATGGACATTCAAGAAGAGTGACGTCATCATGAAATGTACGCGTGCTTGTTGTCTCTTTATGCTAGCCATTATTTTGAACACAATGAGAAGAGATGGCAACGTACTCATTGCAGTGGACACAGCTGGCAGAGTTGTTGAACTTTCACTCCTGTTGGTAAGTTGCTCATCGCTGCGTGATACAACTACTGATGCTTTGTTGTGGACTCTTTGTCAGGGCTTGTAATGCTGGCCAAAAGCTAGTTGCCCTTTTTGTACCTAGCAGACATTGCTTGCCAGTAAATTACATGGAGGGCAGTGATCATTTTGGCCGTACTTTTTATGATTATTGTGATAAATTCTCCCCCCCCCCAAAAAAAGCGAAAGTGACTGGACTTGAAGCCAAAAGGGTCGCAGTATACAAGATTTAAAGAAATCAAAACTTGCCCATTCTGTTTACTTCCTTCGTTGTTTCTGAAGTTTTCCTGTGATAAATTGGCACAGATGTTGACACTGCAAGTCTCGATGTCTTCACTTCGAAGTGTGCAATCTGGCCCTGTTTTGTTTGTGTTCTTTCAGGATCAGTTGTGGCGGAACACAGAATCTGGGTTGAGCCCATACTCGCTGGCAATAATCAACAACGTCAGCTATAATGTAGTAGAATTCGCAAAGTCACAGGTAAGCCAAGATGATGGCCAAACACCGTAGCTGTCTTGTGAACTTTTTTCTTCAGGTGTTTTAGGAAGAAAGTCACATTATCAAATTTCAGAACCCATTACATGAAAAATAAAGTTCTTAGTCCTAGCATTCTAACAAGTCATTGACTGACATGCAAGTGTTTAAGTGGTTCAGAAGAGTTGCAAATACAGGGAAGAACTGAATCTATGCTTTGAAGTCAGGACAGTAGTTGGAAGCGCACTGAGTTAAAGCACGGCATTTAGCTGAACTGAAGGATGTAGAGTTCTAAAAGTGAGACTCTAATCTGGATGATCAGAGGTTAGACTTTTCAGCTTTTTAGCTGATTTCAAAGGTATAGGAACTTCTCACAGTTCAGCCTCTTAATGCCTTTTTTCAGCTGTTTTCAGCTATTTTTGTCATTGGTCAATCTCACCCCTTGATGACTCACCTGAGAAAAATCCACAAGCCAATGAAGGAGACGTTACATTTGTTGTCTTCCAGAGAAGCTTGGTATTGTTTGGGGCATGCTGTTTTTAAGTTTAAAGACAACTACCAGACTACTAGTAGCTATTGGCCTGTTGGTCTATGCATCCACACTGGTCACCAAACTATGTTGACTTGCCATGTGTTTTGGATTAATATTCCCCAAAATAATGATAATAATGCCCCAAATCACATTTGCTTTTTTCTGTTTTAGAAACATGCCTAGGATTAACCCTGCTCTGTGTTGCAGAATGTAGATGTTTTTATGATTGTTCTTGAGCTTATAAACTTGTATCTCTCCCATCATGACATTGCATACTTGATTTGCCACCGGGATTCTGCCTCTTTGTAGGTGGAGTGGATGAGCGACAAGGTGATGCGATCCTTTGAGGACAAACGCAACAATCCCTTCCAGTTCAAGCATCTGAAGCTGTGTCACTCACTGAAAGAACTGGCCAAGGTTCCAGAACCAAAGGTTTGTGTCATCTTTAAAAGGAACATGGGCCATTACCTGCTTCTTTACAGTAACTCAGTTTTTGTTAGCAAAATATTGAGGTATTAATGAATATCGCAGTATTTTTATCACAGATATCGCGGCATTGAAATATGTAATACTGGCCAAGCCTAATTCAGACCTTATTTGTCAAAAATCCAGATCGAAGACTTCCACTCATTGGTTATATTGTGTATGTCAAATGAAATCGATGTGTAGTTCATATTGGCCCACTGTAGTTGTCTCTTTTCAGATTTGATCATCTTAATAATGCAGTGTATTTATATATTGCATTCCAGTACCAGTGGACTCTCAGTCATCCATATCGTCCTTACTGGGCCCAGGACTCTAGTATTTTGTATAAACTCACCGATTTTGGTGTGTAAAATGGAGGTAGCTCTGAGAGAGGGAACAGCAATGCACTTTGGGGGCAGTTTGAGGACTAACAGTTTATGGTGTGGTCTGTGAAACTATTCCTTGGTCAAGCTCAGTCTGACATTCTCCCTGACAATCCACCAGGTTGTACTGGCCAGTGTGCCAGATCTGCAGTGCGGCTACTCCCGGAGTCTCTTCGTGGACTGGTGTGATAACCCTAAGAATAGCATTGTTTTGACCTGCCGCAGCAGTCACGGCACACTGGCACGATCATTCATCGACAACATCCAACAGAAAGAAATTAAACTCAAGGTAGGTGATTGCAAAGATGACCGCAGCACATTTTACGCGTTGTAAGCAGTTGTACAAACTGGGAAATTTTTAGGGATCATGTAGTACTCTGCCAGAGTAGTATTATGCCATTTCCTCCACTGGTTAGGTTCACTTTCAGAACACGTCATTTGTATTCCCCGATAACGATTTTCACATGCACCACACAGACAGCAATTTTATATGCTGAGCGAGGGTCACGTGGTTTCAGAAAAAAAGTGGCTCAAAAAGATAAAAAGCTTTCACAGCAGAGTATTTTCTGATTAATGAGAACTTTAGTTTATTTCTTTGCACTTTCTTGAGGAGAGTCAAGTCAGTTACAAACGTTGAAACAAAACAGTCAACATTAGCAAAACACTGTATTCACAAGAAAGTGTTCCTCAGCAAGTGAATTACTAATCATGGTTTTAGAAGTTGACCATTTACTCGCATTGCAACAACTTAGGCAGTGTGCATAAAGCGCCAATCTCTGAAAGGTCAGTGTGGTTATGAGAAGAACCAGAGATGTGTATATTCTGACTCTGAAGATCACCAGTAGAAACAACTCGCCTTTTACATCACGCTCCTTTTTAGCCACTGGTTAAGATTTCGCGGGTCTTTGTGTCTGTCTTTCTCAGCTGAGTAAGCGAGTGAAGCTGGACCCAGAGGAGTTAGAGCAGTACAGACAGAAAGAAAAGGAAAGAAAAGCAGCGGAGAAGATGAGAAAGTAAGCCGGGACCTTGTCATGACGAGCATTGCTTTCAGTTTTAAAAAAAAGATTGCTTTTTAAATCGAAGAAAAGGATATTTTGAGTAATATATTATTAGTTACATAGGTGGGTATAAGGATTGCGTCAGTGAAAAAAATTATTGCATGGTCTTTTTAAAGGCTTGGAAATTACAAGTAAGGTTGTAATGGTGGAACTTGGCCTTCTGATCCTCAGGGGTACAGACATGGACTCCAGTGACGAGAGCGAAGAGGAGATGGAGATTGGTGAAGTAGGAGGCCACAAAGGCAGTAAAAAATTCATCCAGCATGATTTGATGCTCAAAGCAGAGGTACTTATCAATTTCTTGAGATGCACAAATATTGTGTGAGTTATATATGTTATCACTGCCTGACAGACTGATATATCGGGTGAAACTTAGGGGTAGGCATTAGCAGATCATGCCTGGGGGACGGAGGCAAATTAAAATCTTTGCATTTTTGTCAACATCATGAGAGACCAGCAATTGGAGGAGACTTTTTACTTCCTTCCAAAAGCATGTAAAATGCCCCAAAATGTAGCCTTCCCCTCAGAGAGACCATAGAAAAATTACATGAAGAAATACCCATATGTCCCTTCCCATTCCCTCCTCCCCCCAGATAATATTGGATCTGCCAGTGCGGTTGGGCTTTTTTTTTCAAGGGAGAACTGAAAGAAGGATAAACTGCAGCTTGTGCATATTTATGTCGATCTCAAATGGGAGGGCATCAGAGGGGTGCAGACGTCCATTGAAGAGGGAGACTCACGGCTCCTGTATACCCTTCTGCTGCTCCAAATTAACTGCAGACTGGAGTTGGGTTAATTTCTGGAATCATGTCCACTCGATACAAAGCTTGCCTCTGAAGGAAGACTGGAACTTAGCATTGGTCTAGCAATTGATAATGGTACTTCAAGAAAGAAACAGAGAATTTCTCTTCGTTGGGTTATCCACATGAAGCATTTTTTGGGGGAGGGGTGGAGTTTGAGAGTGAGTACATTTTTATGAGTTCCAATATGAGCATGGAATGAATTACCAGTGCACAAGTAGCCTACTACTAGGTTACTTGTGGCTAATACTATAGGACATCACAGTGTGGGGAAGTTGCAGTATGGCATGTGCCCTTTCACTCTGTGTATTCTCTGAAGCACAGAGCGGAAGAGCAGCAGGTGCTTCTAGGATCTTTTGCCATGGCATTCTACTGAGCTCTTAAATTATACGCAGAAAGTTCTACTGAGTACAAAAGGGTTCTCTGCCACTGTTGTCAAGCACTTTACACCAGATTTTCAACTGACGTTTGCTGTTTTATAGTGTATGCAATCTTTCTTTGCATGAACTTGTCAAGAATTGAGCCCGACCCAACTCTCCAATGGTCACCTAAGTAAAGATGTCCCTTTTGGGCCAACGCAAGTAGGCCTCTGAAAGTTAGCAAGTCAAGGGGGGTCATGATGATTTTACTGGGTGCATAGTGACATTCAAGTGTCTGCTTAGCAACCCCGTTGTCCACTGATCACACGGGTGGTTCATCCGCTTTGTTCTTTTTCTACCGGAGACTTGAGTTGTGTCATTTTGGTTTACACAGTATGGCTAGAGACTGATGTCATTTTGGCAGGTTTATGCTGTACTACTGATAGCCATTTTTAAAAACCTCGGTGAAGTAGTAGTGAAGTAGTTACTTCCTGAATGAGGAAGTCATGGTGAGGTAGGAAGTGTGAGTTTTTAACAGTGCTTCAGCCTCTAGAGAGTAAGTAAGATTTTAGGGCATTAAGAAAGACTTAAGACTGGAATTTTTAATTGTTAATTAGGTTGTTGTTAACATGGAGAAAGCAAGTCTTGTCTCCTTACCCCATCCACCCCGGGACCCCCTTCCACCCCGGGACCCCCTTCCACCCAGGGACCCCCCATCCACCCCGGGACCCCCTTCCACCCAGGGACCCCCCATCCACCCTGGGACCCCCTACACCCCGGGACCCCCCATCCACCCCAGGACCCCCCTACACCCCGGGACCCCCCATCCACCCCAGGACCCCCCTACACCCCGGGACCCCCATCCACCCCGGGACTTTTCAACGCACAGTCACATAATAACAAGCAGTCACCAAAGAAAGAGGGCTTTTGGATGCCCCCCGTGTTTCAGCATACAAGCTCCTATCACAAACTGCAGGCTTGCAGACTTTTCAAATTTTCAAATCTAGAAGGCAGTGTGTTCACGTGTACACTTGTGACTTAATTTCCTGCCGAGTTTTTCGACAGTCCACTTGTATCAAAGACCATATCTCTCACTGCACCGTCTTTCAGAGTGGCAAGAAAGGGACTAGCTTCTTCAAGCACGCCAAGAAGTCCTTCCCCATGTTCCCGTTCCACGAGGAGAGAATAAGATGGGACGAGTACGGTGAACTGATTAAACCCGAAGACTACATGGTCACGGAAATGGCCCAGGCAGAGGAGGAGAAGACCAAAGCTGTGAGTTGCCTTCACGCTCTCTGATTTCAACTGTCACTGTGGTAGTTTGGTCTAGCACAAGTCCAATCAGGGATCAGTTTCCCAAGTCTCGACACTTGAGGTGAGACTGGACAATCTGAAGGACTTGTGATGGACCCGACTACAGGGTGGTTTAATGACATTCAGTCTTAGGTGCTTGACGTCTCTCTGATAGTTGTTTTAAAATTATGGAACCATTTCATATTTGTTTTGATTTTTAGGAAGAGGATGGCTTTGATGGTGAAGACGTGGGCGAAGGTGAGGTGTACATTCTTCCTGTTGGTGTTTCTTGGTTTTGTAAAATGCTTCCAAAGTAGTTCTAAATATTTATTTTGTCACGTTTCTTATGTCTTACACGTCTTTGAGTTCTTAAAAAGAATGTGTTTATGTTACAAAGGTTTAAAAAATGAGATTACAAAATAAAATCTTAATCTTTTGGTAGAAATTTATTCATGATAGTAGTTTGCTTGGTTTCAGCTGGTGCCGACATTCCAACCAAGTGTGTCTCTCGCGAGGTCACTCTAGAGGTCAAATGCTCAGTCAACTTCATCGATTTTGAGGGGCGCTCTGACGGCGAGTCTATCAAGAAGCTGATCTCCCAGGTCAAACCAAGACAGCTGGTAAGATGTGAATTAGTGGAACAAAGTCTGTGCCCTGGCACCGCGTTAAACCGGATTGTGGGGATTCCTGTGAGTCCCAATAATGATTCTCTCCCCATAATAATTACAGCGCTGCTGTGCATGAGGTGTGTAGTTTGAACACCCACAGAACAAGTGTGTGTACCCTGGATGGCGCTGCATTGAGGGGACAATCTCTTGTGTTTAAGAAATTTTGGACTTAAGTACAGGACAAAAATTTGCACCTGTTACAAGTTTTTCAACAAAATGACTATTGTTCAGTACTTGCGTAGTCCTATAGATCGTGGCCAGCTGTTGTCCCCCTTACCAAACTTTCTATATTTTGCCCTGTCTGTCCAAGTTGTGACATGTTTACTCTGTGAAAATTTCTCAGTTGACATGCCAGTGTTTGAATCTGAAATGAAATTGTAAATTTTAACAGTTTGTGTAGTTTAAACCACTGACCAAATTATTTCATAAGATTCTAGTGTACAGTCTAAAAACCCATGTTCTTTACTGGAATGCTGACAGATTATAGTACATGGGTCAGAGGAGGCCACGCAACACTTGGCTGAGTACTGCCGGCTACAGTTGGCGGGAACTAAAGTATTTACACCCAGTATCAACGAGACAATGGATGCCACTATGGAAAGCCACATCTATCAAGTAAGATTATTGTTTTTTCCAACATTACTGCTTTCTGAAAATGAAAGGCTAGACAGTGGATGCCACTGTGGAAAGCCACATCTATCCAGTAAGATTATTGTTTTTTCCAACATTACTGCTTTCTGAAAATGAAAGGCTAGACAGTGGATGCCACTGTGGAAAGCCACATCTATCAAGTAAGATTATTGTTTTTTCCAACATTACTGCTTTCTGAAAATGAAAGGCTAGACAGTGGATGCCACTGTGGAAAGCCACATCTATCCAGTAAGATTATTGTTTTCTCCAACATTACTGCTCTCTGAAAATGAAAGGCTATAAGGTGTGAGAATCTTGGGACAGGGTGTTCGGTCCCAGGAGACCATCCTTTATTAACCGAAACTATTTCGTAGAATAGGGGAATGAGGAGCGGTGTGGGTGGGTTGACTGACTTCAGTGACGCTTTGCATATTTTTAGACATTTTGCTTAGTTGATTTGTTGGAATATTAGCTTGGACAATGTGTGCCTCTCAGAAAACAGTGTTAACAATGGGCCCTGGACATCTTCACATGTGGGGTGTTTGTTTTCGTAGGTGAGATTGAAGGACTCTTTGGTAAGCTCCCTGGAGTTTTCCAAAGCCAAAGATGCGGAGCTGGCATGGATTGACGGCCAGCTGGACCTCCCAACACCACATCTTGGAGTGGTCAAGGAACAGACCGGAACCACCGAGGAAGAAGGGTCAGAGGTCAAGATTAAAGCACCAGGTATGCCAGGTGGCATGCAGAGATTCGTTCAGAAGTTCAACGAAAAAATAGCATGGCTGTCTGTTTATAGCTATTTACCTGCCAAATTCGTACGTAGCCACGCCCCCCAAATGAATAAGAACACCTCAACTGTTTTCGCCACAGCACTTTCTGAAATTATCTTCTGTAGCAAAGTGTTTTTGTGAATCATTCTTATGGATTAATGATGGTCAGGTCCCTGACAGTGTTGTAGTCGAGACCACTTAGGACCTTCACAAGACCACACAAGACCAGCGCAAGACCTGAATTCAAGTCAAAAGCTATTCAAATGAACTGCAACAATAGTATTCCTTTGTCATTGTTCACCCTGCTACTTGTGACTGGTTTTGTGCATGGACTTGTATGTAGTCTTGTGCATGGTCTTGTATGTAGTCTTGTGCATGGTCTTGTATGTAGTCTTGTGCATGGTCTTGTATGTAGTCTTGTGCGTGGTCTTGTATGTAGTCTTGTGCATGGTTTTGTGATAGCCTCGACTACAACACTGGACAGACATTTGAGAAATGTATTCATACATTGCTTTTTTCCAGGGTTGGGCATCGGTAAGGACACCTCTGCGGATACTGATGAGATTATACCAATGTTAGGAGCCATTCCGCTTCAGGAGGTATGTCTCAAGTCAGATAGTGGTATTTTTAAACCTTAGAAGAATGATAGTCACACACTTATACATTCTTTTACTTTTTGGGGGTTGAGGCAGCGGTCACCCCTCCAAGGAGAGTATTTCGAGAAATGTCAGAGGATTCTAGAGGATTGAGGGTGCATGCAGGTTTTGCTTGGTGCTGTTGGAGGATTTTGAAGGATCGAGGGTGTATCATAGCCAAAAGGGCCCAGGCGGTTAGGGTTAAAAAATGTGTCCGTCTTTGGTGGACAGTTGTGCACATATCTATCAAAGCATCATGTGTTTACCCAATGGTCCTTATAAGAATCATTGACCTCTCAGAAATGATCTTTCCATGGACAGTACTTAGGAGAGCAGTTGTATCCCTGACAACAGCAGGGGTGATATTTTTATGTTTTCTTTGAACCGGTAAGCAGCCTGGCCGAAGCATTCTGTACCCTCTGCAAGAGAGATCATCAGTGCTGAGTTTGCAAGACTACAGCAGAGTAATCAATTTGAGAAGCAACAAGCACATGATGGCCTGTCTCCTGCGGTGATTGAGACGTGGCACTTTCTGTTCACTACCTGTCCTCTAACCAGAGCCATTATCTGAACTGATACAGGTCCCAGGCCATTACCAAGTCTTTGTGAATGCCCCCAAGTTCCAAGATCTCAAGCAGGTCATGTCGCGCAACGGCATCCAAGCTGAGTTCAGCGGGGGTGTCCTGGTCTGCAATTCGTTGGTAGCAATCAAACGGGTAAGTGATAGTCTCGTCCTCGGTACTTCATTTAGGTGTCTCTAATGAGGATGGGGAATACTGAAACCGAGGATTTCTCAAAAATTCCTGAGGCTGTGATTGAGTAAGTCTGCAATTCAGGGAAAGTTGGATCAGCGGCAGTTTGTTAACCACTGGCCTATTTTGTCCAGTGCCCGATATATGTATTACATGCATGGGTTACCAGTCAAAATCGACCATTTTGGGGATTTTTCAAAAATGCTTGAGGCTGTGTAAAGCCCGCAGAATTTCAAGGATTGAGAAAACGCAATGAGAAAATGTTCTGCTGTGTAGCTTGGTTAAAAGTCCTCAAAGCATTAATCCATATGTTGGCCTGGTTGGTATTGGAACTAGGCTTAGAGAGTTGAAAGATTAACCCTAACCCTCCTCAATCCTCCAACAGGTGAAGGATTGAGGAGGGTTAGGGTTAAGGAAAGTGCCACTGTATGAACTGGATTTCCTTCTCTTTGGAGAGACAGAGGGGCAGGAAAAATGGAGCTTGTCGATAATGTATGTTTGTATATCACCTTTCCAAATTGAACCAAAAAGATAACAGAAGATGGTTGATTGTAGGTTTGTGGCTAGTTTCATGTTGTTTAACTTGCCTATCCACACATGAAGCAATCCTGATCCCGCACATGTAAATAAAGAGTTGATTTAGCTGGATTTACTGTTCATAAATCTCAGGTCACTATCAAGCAACAGTGTCGTCATAAATCAGTGGCAAGAGTAAAATCACGGTAAACTTTATAAAATTTGTGAAGGTTCTGTGATAGTGCCGTGATACTTGATGAACGTTTCAGGATGACCAGTTTTTAGGTGCTAATTTTTCATTTCGCACTGCTCGTGCATATGAATTGTCCATCTTTGCCAGAACAGGCACTGTCAACATCTGAGGCTGACTTCCTGTAAAATTTGATTGTTACAGAACGATTCTGGCAGGATCACTCTGGAGGGCTGCCTAAGTCCGGATTACTTCAAAGTGCGAGAGCTTCTCTACGAGCAATATGCCATCATCTAAGATGAGGACCTAAGGAAGAAAACGAGTCAGTCTAAATACTAACCAGCCTTGCATTTTGCAACTTGTGGACAAATTCCAAAAGCCCCTAGTAGGACTGTCTATGTGTCTTCTTTGGTCAGCAAGTCCTGTGCCATTTTCCAAACTGCAGCTTCATCTGTAGCAGTGGCTACCCCGACTTCAGAGTCATTTCAAATGTTTTTTCGTGAAAAAGAGCAAAGTAAACACCACCTCAAAAATTGGCTGTAAGTGGCAGGATCTGACGTTACTGAATTGAGCTGAAGTTTCCCAAGCCTTGGAGCCAAAATGGGAGACGAAGAAGAGGTTTCACTCATTGGAGTGAACTTTTACCGCTGCGTGCAAACATCAAACAGTGTTGTGTCCTGGCAATGCAACTGCTTCAGTCGTTGGTCATGCATTTTGATGCAGCCTGGTGATAGTGCGGTATTTTCATGTGCAGCTATGACCTGGATTCCATCCATATTCACAGCCTCACGACATTTGGTGCCACTAATGTCGAATATGCTACATGCATTCGGACAGTGAGACTTCAGATCTCTAGCCATGTACCAGTTGAGTATATGTATCTTTATTGCTGTAGTTTGTTTTAATGTTAACACACCACCGTGTTAAACATGAAGTCTTATAAATAGTCTGGTTTTTTTTCTTTGGCTGATTCTGGGATATAAAGGCAACCTGGTTTTCCATCACTGGTGATCCAGTATGTGACTTGTGGGGATTTTAAAAATATTGTTGATTTATGTATGTTATCACTGCCTGACAGACTGATATATCGGGTGAAACTTAGGGTAGGCATTAGCAGATCCATGCCTTGGGGGACGGAGGCAAATTAAAATCTTTGCATTTTTGTCAACATCATGAGAGACCAGCAATTTGAGGAGACTTTTTACTTCCTTCCAAAAGCATGTAAAATGCCCCAAAATGTAGCCTTCCCCTCAGAGAGACCATAGAAAAATTACATGAAGAAATTCCCATATTTCCCTTCTCATCCCAGCTGTGCGTTCCCGAAATAAAACACGTCGATGTCAGACGAAAACAGCAGTTCACACTTGCCTTTTTGAAATACCAAACTGGCTCATTTTCATGTAGAAGGGACATCAAAGATCTTCCGGTTTTTTTGTTTTTTTTTGTTAATGCTAAATTTGTAATTCCTCGAGTTAATTCGAAAATTGTGTTTCTTTAAACTTGTTTAAATTACTTCAAAAGTTTTTTCCACAATTCCTGCACAAAGAGAGTCTTACAAAAACTGACATAAGTGCTTGTTTTTCACATCTGGGATAACAATGGCATTTATAGTTGGTCTGTTTGGTATTAAACACCTGTTCAGTAGGGTTTAACTTTAGTCAAGTCTCAAGTCTTTTCCTTGGGGGGGGGAATTTTCAGTTGATTGGCAGAGACAGTTTGTAGCAAAATCCTCCTATTTCTCTGATTGGCATAAAATATTTCCTCACAGAATCAATTTAAGTTGAGAATGCAATAGGGGTTGGGAACAGGGTCATTCCCTCAGAGAGCCTTTTTTCTTTGACGAATAATTTGAGAAGGGAACATTTTTGGGGGTCTATTTCATTTCCTTTCCTTCAAAAATCACGTAAAAGGCCACCGAATGTAGCCTCACCTTCAAAAGGCCATAAAGGTTACATGAGACAATTTCCACCCTCCCCAATCGAATTCCCCCCCCCCGCAAATGGTTCTTCATTCATCCAGGGGGGGTTAATGTTAAGCCACCTCGCTTGATGACCACATGGAGATTAAACAGCGAAATTAAATAGGATACATGAATGTATTTACAAAGACTGCAGTAAAAGTACCCATCTGTAGAGGAAAGTTTTCGCGAATGAAATCCCTTTCCTCACATTACTTCTGGTTTCTGAAAGGAGACATTATGGGACGTTAACCCGGAGCTGCGAGAGGGCGCTATCATTTTGGAACGCTCAGAACTCTTTATAGCATAGAGATAGTTGCGACATGAGAGAACCAAAAAAGGTGGGATTAGGCATCAGTGCACATGGACAGTTTGCACAATAGCAGCATGCTGTAATGTACACATAATTAATGGCCATTTTGGTTCCAAAGTCTGAAGTTGGCGCGACTCTCTCTTTATACAATCTGGGAACGCTAACATAACTTCGGCATCTTGTGTGTTCAAACATTAGGCCTACGCTATGTAGTATGCAGGATATCAGCTGAACACTGTTTACTCCGCCCGAGATTATTTCTGGCAGTCAGTGGCATGGAGGTAGGAAAAGACCTCCACGGTCAGTGGTAGTGGGTTGATTTCCGAGTCGGCCTGTTTATTTAAGGCTTTTATTGGCACACATGGGGGGGGGTTAAAGCCTCCCACGGGGGCGGCTGCCTACCGTTAGCCACGCCAAAGAATTTGTATTATACACATGAAGCTCCAAATAATTTTCCCAACCACCTTAATCCACTCCAAAAAAATGGCTTTCACAACGTACAAAACGTGACATTTCTGATGTAATTCTGGTTCCCAGAATATTCTTGTATCTGCACTGTTGTGGAAAATCTAGCCAGAACTCATCTTGGTTCCACCGTCCGTAAATGTGTGTGGGCGTGCGTGGGCAAAGAAGTCGTGGGCGACGTGGCGCGCGTGGGCGAAGTGGCGCGCGTGGGCAAAGTGGCGCGCGTGGGCGAAGTGCGCGTGGGCGTGGTGGCGCGCGTGGGCGGAGTGGTAAGGCTTGTCGGCCTTCTGTGTGGGTCGACCAAAGAAGCGATTCATTTCTTGTCTCCTTCACTTCATTGTCTTCCTTTCCGCTTGTGCATTTTGCAAATAAGGGGTACAGCCCTCATTCGAGAATGGCCAGGGTGTAGTGTCCATGAATTTGAAAGCAGTTGCACGGGAAAGGCATCGGGGCGGTCTCTGTGGTCCTTGTTATTTATAATTTGAGTGGGAAATGATGTCTGGAAAATGCGACGCAAGGTAAAATTGTCAGGGGAAAAAAGTGCGACGCTTAGCCAAAAAAATGTGACGCTGAAAAAAATGCGACGTATGTCTGAAAAATGCAACGCTCTGTAAAAAAAAAATGCAACGCTTGAATACAAAGAAATAAATTTAAAAAAAAACGACGGCTCGCATTGATTTTTACCGACCCACGTTCGCTTGCAGTGGGACCTCCAGACTTTGTGAGCACATACTGTACATGAATCAGTTCAGAAATATGCGCCAATAACAATACATGTCCTTGACATGGAGAATGAAAAAAAAATGGATATCGTGTTAAAAGGTTGTCCAAGCACTTGGATGGTGTCAACTGTCAAGTACTGTAGTCCCTGTGCAAAATACCTTTCCAGAATTAAATGATACATTTTGGCAAAAAAAAAATTTACACCCCAGCCCCGGTACCACAATATCAGCATCAGCTAGATGCGAAAAAAAAAGAAGAAGAAGAAAAGCATGCATGACATTTATAGGCATGGAAATGACCATCAGAAATGAGACAGACATCGGAGGTATGACAGAGACTGTGGAATGATCCACAAAATATTTGTTTTTCTGTTTTGCGGGTTATCAAGATGCATCGTACTACAAACCGCTTACGTATGATCTTTTGTGATCTTTTGTGATTGTGCCCAATGATCTCATGAATCGACACTTAAATTGACTGTTTTACATCAAGTTAAAAACCCACTCTCATCGTGCTGGGTTGAGTCTCTATTGCACTCGTGGGCACTAACCTCATAAAGACGCAGAAACAAACCCCATGGCTGTTTATCAGTGAAGACAAGATAAGGCAATGATCACCTACCACTGTTGAGGATCTGCAAGGGGTCAAATTTCGTGCTGTACATGTATGTAGCGTATAAGGGTGCAGACCACTAATTCAAGTGAGAATTTCTGGCCAGCTCATTAGCATTAAAAGTGCCCCCCCCAGTATCTTTTGAAAAAGAAGATTGTTTGGCCCCCAAAATGGTGAGATTGTGTAACTCGTTGCTAGGATCAACTCCCTGGGTCTTTGGGCTTTCATATGAGAGCAGAAAGACTAAAAACTACGGTTGAAAAATGGTCCTAAGTGCCCGGGAAAGTTGAGGGTTGCCACTTGAAAAATGGCTGCAATCAGACTTCGTAAAAAAATCACTTTTTGGGGGGTGATTTTT